CTGATAAAAGCAAAGCTTCTGTTATAAGAAAATGAAACAGGTATAGTTATATTTGAAGAAAGATAATGAACCGATGTATAGAATTATGAAGCAAAATAATTAAGAATCTGGAAGAACGGAAAGAAACTTCAGCTAATCATTATTGGTTTTGTTAGCTTATTTGTAAAATTGACTTCTTAAAATATTTAATAAGATAGAAGATTAAACGTTAATCAAGCCAATTCAAAGTTCGCTTCTTTGTTAGATTCTGCAGAATTATTTTTGTCTCATCGTGAGACTTGCACATAGTTTGATCCTAAATAAATAAATTACAGATACAGACAACTCGATACAAGACGAATTATTATCTCTATTAATAATTATTTATCAAATATTATGTTGTAAACGGAAAAATTAATATTGCGGAGCATATCCTATTTTTTCTGTTTGTACAAAGAATCTTTTATAGGTCAAAAAAGGGTTAAACGACAAAAACGACAGTTACCCTTCTTCACTCGTTAACACTGTGAAGCACTGAATACAACGTCTTAACTAGCTGAGGGAAACAATGGAACACTGTCTTAACAAATTGGCACAGCGGTATGTCTGCGGACTTACAACACTAGAAACCGGGTTTCGATATCCGTGGTGGGCAGAGCACAGATAGCCCTTATGTAGCTTTGCGCATAATTACAAACAAACAAACAAACTGTCTCTAAAAAAAGCTGAGAATAAAACACCTGATTACTGTGGCTCAACAAAGGTGAAAACACCGGAACGCTTTATATTAACAATCGGAAAACACCTGAATACATTGAATTAACTAGTTGAACACACCGAAACACTGTATTAATTAATTGAACACACCGGAACACTTTGTATTAACAATCGGAAAACACCGGAATACTATGTATTAACTAGTTGAACACACCGAAACACTGTATTAACTAATTGAACACACCGGAGCACTTTATGTTAACTAGCTGAAAATACCAGAACTTTGTATATGTCCGCAAACTGAAAACACCGGAACACTTTATATTAACTAGCTGAAAATACCAGAACTTTGTATATGTCCGCAAACTGAAAACACAGGAACACTTTGTGTCAAAAAAACTGAACTGACAACATTAGTACACATTTGTCTTCAACAAACTGAGAAAAAAATCTTAAAATACTGTGTATCAATGGACAACAATTGCGGAATATTTTACTCTTGGAATCGGAATGGAAATACTTAGGTCATGACTGTTGCGACCATGGGAAATAGCATTGCTATAAATTAAGAATTACAACTGCTATGAAGACATTCATATGTCACAACCAAATATTATATGTCACAACCAGATATTATATGTCACAACCAGATATTATATGTCACAACCAAATAATATATGTCACAACCAAATATTATATGTCACAACCAGATATTATATGTCACAACCAGATATTATATGTCACAACCAAATATTATATGTCACAACCAGATATTATATGTCACAACCAGATATTCCGAAATATGCGAGCTGTACCTCCTAATTTTAATATTTTTGTTATTGTTGTCACCTCCAATTTATTGAACTAGTACCTTTAGTAATCAAACTCACCCATTACCGAAAACAGCTCTTTTGCGATTTCTAAGCCTAATTTATCTTTTCTGTTTATCTTGTTATCCTTAAACCTATTAATAAAAAAATACGCTTCGGTTGCTTTCATGTACAGATTCATGTTATTTTTGTTTTCGTTAACCTATTAATCAGCAAGTTCTGGAGGAACTTTTCCCCGTAATTTCCCACCGATATATATATATATATATATATTTATAATTTATACAACCTTCAAACCCAAGGTATTTTAAATTCATTAAAAACCTAATTACCGCTAGACTTTAGAAATACCATTTAATTTTGTGATACTTTTTCCTTAGGAAATAGTATATTTAGTTTACTTAACATTAAAAAAAGTTTGTTCGAAATCTTTTCAGTAGTCGCTCACATGATCGGAATTACAACCATGTTAAGAAAAAAATCCTTTACATGATTGGTCCCCTGTGCTATATTTAATGAATCCAAGTTCTTTATACAAAACTATTGTATAGTTAGAACAGCTACATCAGATAAGTGTCAACTTTTAAAGTCAAAGTAAAAATACATACATTTTGCATGCACTACTTAAATTCTTTGAAACAATGTCCTACAACAACACTATTTCAGTTTAGATCACATAAACTATTTAGAAAACAAACACTAGAACAATAATATCCAATAGCTTCGAACTAGTATAGATTAATTTCTAGAGACACCATGATCACAATTGAAGATCGCCCAACTAAGGTAAAGTTTGGTTTGTTGTGAATTTCGCGCAAAGCTACATGAGGGCTATCTGCGCTAACCGTCCCTAATTTAGCAGTTATAGTCAACGCCACCCACCGTCAACTCTTGGGCTACTCTTCTACCAACGAATCACGTTATAACGTCCCCCATGGATGAAAGGGCAAGCATGTTTGGTGTGACGGAGATTCGAACCCTTGACCCACAGATTTCGAGTAGAACACCTTAACCACCTGGTCAGTGAAGTCAAGTGAAAATAAACTTGTTTGTTGTTTATGCGATAGAGACAACTTTCAGTCTCATCTGGCTGCTCCTCTTCTCAAAACGTCTTTTTCTTCTGGTGTATTTTCACATATAAACGTTTCGAAAAATCCCATCTTCTTTCTCACCTTGCAATCTTAACGCATCTTTGATGTACTTTAAGGGAAAGATAGAGCGGAACTTTTTAATGTATGAGAATTCAAATAATACATTCGGGTCAAGGTGAATTTCCGTCAGTTCGATAATGTAAAGCTGCTGCGGGTAGATTTATTGCTGGAAGAACATGTAATCGCTTCTGAAGAGACAAATTCATACAGCCTTGATGTAGAAACCTGTAAAAATATCATTGCAATTGGATGAATCTACAGATGTTTCCCATTGTAGCCAACTGATTGCTCTTGTTCGTTATGTCAAGAATGAAGAAGTATTAGAACACATTCTATTTTGTGAACCACTAAAGACCACCACAAAAGACCAAAACGTGTTCGCCCTCATAAAAGAATTTTTCTTAAAAGATGGATTGGATATGAACATCGTTGGTTCCATATGTACAGATGGCGCTCCTGCTATGCTAGGAAATCAGTCTAGATTTGCAGCTCTCATAAAACGGGAAATTCCTGAAGTCCGTGTCACACACTACCTGCTTCATCGGTATGCATTAGCAGCAAAGAGTTTACCAAAAAGTCTGCAAGACGTTTTGTCAACATGTGTGAAAATTGTTAACGTAATTGGAGGACGTTCACTGAACCATCGTTTATTTCAAGCGTTTTGTAAAAGCATGGATTCTGAACACACGGTTCTACTGTACCACACGGATGTGAAATGGCTATCCCGTGGACGTGTCTTGCAGCGTATATTTGAGCTTCGTGAGGAGATCAAGACATTTTTAAAGGATCAAAAGTTGGATCTCTTTTCTTCATTTAATTCCCCAGAGCTTGTGCAAATGCTAGCATACTTGACCGACATATTTACTCACTTAAATTAACTAAATATTTCCCCCCAAGGAAGTAATAAAAACGTGGTTATTGCACATGAAAAATTGGCTTCCTTCAAAGCTAAAATTCCTTTGTGGTTTAGAAATATTGAGAAGGGAAATTTGGCTAGGTTTCCATCGCTGCAAGAAGTTGTTGAAGAACACAAGTCACTACTTCCAGAAGTTGCCACAGCAATACGCAATCACCTTGAACAGCTATTATATGCCTTTGAAGGGTATTTCTCTGCAGGAAATTTGGAAGCCAGCGACCGCTGAATAAGGAACCCGATTCTGTTTCAGTTAAGCCTGAAGTTATGCCTGACGAATATCCTTTCAAGGAGGGAATAATTGACATGCAAAATGATCATGCTTCAAAAATGGAGTTCGAAGTGAAGAAAATTTTTGGGCATCACAAATAACAAGAATCCCCGACATTTCCAAGAAAGCACTTACTGTACTTGATCCCTTCGCAACAACATATCTTTGGTTTCGACTCTTCTTCGTGTGAAGAGCAAGTTTCGAAATCGCCTCGATGCTCAGCACGACATGCGCATCGCTCTCAGCAAAATGGAACCCCGTATTCCAGATATATAATTGCGAAGAAACAAGAACAAATGTCACATTGATAGGATTTGATATGAGTTTTCGATACTATGTACATCTAATTTGTGTGAAAGTAAATTTTTCTAACTCATGATAACGTGTTTTCTTTTTTTGGCAAACTCACACACACACACGGACACATATATATAAATTTTTCTGACTCGTAATAACGTGTTTTCTTTTCTGGCAAAATAAGTGTTTTTTTCTTTTCGAAAATTTGTGTTAATTAAAAATACTCATTAATAAGTACTTAAGAATTTGACCTGAAAAAAAATTCATTTTTTGCTTTTAACTCTGGGGTACGGAAAAAGGTTAGGAACCACTGTACTATGTGAATATTCAGGTAATACAGTTTCGTGGGAGTATTAATATTCAGGTTATACAGTTTCGTGGGAGTATTAATATTCAGGTTATACAGTTTCGTGGGAGTATTAATATTCAGGTAATATAGTTTCGTGGGAGTATTAATATTCAGGTTTTATGTGAATATTCAGGTAATACAGTTTCGTGGGAGCATTAATATTCAGGTTCTATGTGAATATTCAGGTAATACAGTTGCGTGGGAGCATTAATATTCAGGTTTTATGTGAATATTCAGGTAATACAGTTTCGTGGGAGCATTAATATTCAGGTTCTATGTGAATATTCAGGTAATACAGTTGCGTGGGAGCATTAATATTCAGGTTTTATGTGAATATTCAGGTAATACAGTTTCGTGGGAGCATTAATATTCATGGAATAAAGTCCTACGTGAACATTCCGAAAATAAATAAAGTTTCATCATTTCCGTCTAAGTGTTTATGTTCAAAGAAAAAAGTTCTCTCTCAATATTTAAATAGTAAAGTTCTCTTTGGACTTTAGTCGAAAGGTTGAAAGTTCGAGGTTAGACCGAGACGTGTTTACCCAGTTGTATGCTGGGTCGAAGCGGGTAGCTAGGGGTTAACCTGCAAAGGAATGGCATCCATCTAGGGGTAATGTGTTACCATTCTCATCTGCTTGTGCCACAAAACAAACAAAAAAAAAACGGTGCCGCCTTCTGTGCCTTGCGAAAGGGCAACAAGGAATTGCATAAGCTTAACTTTCAGAAAGTTCTGTGTGAATATTCAAATAAAAGAGTCTGGTGTGTAATTAATATTAATAGAATAATGTTTTAGGTAAATATTCAGAAAATAAAGTTATATATGAATATTCAGATAATATAGTTCGTTAAGAATATTCAGGAAATGTCACTTGTTTTTGTAATTATTTGAATAATTTAGTTCATTTATTTCTTTTTGAATATGAAGATGATACATTTCTTGGCAAATATCTATATAATGCACCTATGCATTAATATTCGGGTAATATAATTCTGTGTAAATATTCAAAGCTACAGTTTTGTTTAAGTATAGTACAAATCTATATGAATGTTCATCGCGAAAGAAGTCTGATTAATAAAAATCTACAAATGTAAGCGCAGAAGGTTAGATAACACATGGTATAAGATTCAGGTTATCAAAACATGCTGTGTTAACGTGTAATAGCTAACTTTGTATTTGGTATTAAAGAGAAAAACTTACTTTAGTAAAGTGGATAATATTTGTATTGAATTCTACGGGAAGAATTACTTAATCATGTAAACATAACGATGCTGTTGCTTATTACACTCTGCTTTTTTTACTGGGGTTTTCCTTCTCTATTCGGGTTCCCTTATTGGTCTACCAAATTGTTCACGTCACATGACCTTGGTTGAAAGACATTATTCCGGGAGGATAAGAAATTAAGTTCACTTAAAGGTGACCCAAAGATCTAACACAGTCCTCTAAAAGATTTAATTCCCTTCCCCAACCTCCCTTCATTTATTAGCAGCTTACACATCAACAAAAATAAAGTGATATCCAGTCCTAGGAAAACGTTAATTAACGATTTACCATCGTTGGGAGTTCCCGTTTAAGTGATAGTGTTAAGTTGGATCCAACAGAAAATACTTCTTGCATCACCCACAATCATCAGCTTTTCTTCTACATTGTTACTTTAATAATAAGTGTAAAGCAAACTGATTTTGTATAGGAAACTATTCTAGAATTCCTATGTCATAGATCAGTACACGCAAAAAATAAAACGTATAATCATTATAATGTATTGAATAATCAGTTGGTACCCTCGCTATTAACGTACTTTTTGGCCATAATCCCAATAATATCGCAGGTGATTTGGCCAGCTTAGGAAATTTAGGTTAGTCCAACATCCATATACTAACCTAAAAGTCCAAAATAATTCTCATTCGTTCATGTTTTAAGAATTAATTAAAAATTATTTTAAACATTATAACCAACAATACTAATGAAAATATGCATAAAAAAATTGCTAACTACCACTAATTTTGAGCTGATAGACTAGAGGAAAGGCAGTTAGTCAACAACACCCACCATAAACTTTTAGTCTACTCTAATCGAATAATGCTCCACGACCACACAGGGTGGAGCGTGATTTTGCCAAGCAGGAAAGCAAATCAAGGGTCCTCTAATCCACAGCTCGAAATATTAACCACATGGCCACGACCGCCCCAAAGAAAAACACAGCAGTTCGTACTTAAAAATAAACAAACAAAAAAAAAAAAGATCCACACAGCTTACCAATACATGAAACCTGTTAAAGATACTTTAAATTTCTATTCATACCATGCTCGTGGAGTGGGTGTGACCTAGTGGTAATCGTGATTGGACTATGTCCCTTTGCTGAAGAACATCGTTTCACTCTTCTGTGCCGTGTGTGTGCCCTGTAAAAGTGATGGTCAAATCCTACCATTCAGGCAGACAAGAGTAATTCAAAAATTGCTGATGAGTGCTGTTGAATGTTTGCCTTCCCTTTAGTCTATTAATTCAAAAAAAGATATGAACAGATAGTCCTTTGTGAAGCTTTTAACACTGACTAGCTAATGTTGTTTTTTGTACTTAGAATATTGTGAGTGGCCGGCATGGCCAGGTGGTTAGGGTGCTCAACTCGCAATCTGCGGGTCGCGGGTTCGAATCCCCGTCCCAACAAACATGCTCGCCCTTTCAGCCGTGGGAGCGTTATAATGTGACGGTCAATCCCATTATTCGTCAGTAAAGGAGTAGCCCAAGAGTTGGCGGTGGGTGGTAATGACTAGCTGTCTTCCCTCTAGTCTTATACTGCAAAATCGAAACCCGATTTTTAGCGTCACTAGCCTGCACACTTACTGATAAAGTGAATTAATATCGTATATGTATCGAGTGTTTTTCAGTGTTTCGTTTGCATCTGGGGGATTCAATTTCCATGCTTTTTTTTTGCCGCTCTAAAGCTAGTATACCCTGGTTCAGCGTCAAGCTTGAGCGCTAATAATGCCAAAATTCTAGGTTTGATCCCTGTGGTGGAAACAGCACAGATAGCCTATTGTGTAGATTTGCGTTTCAAATGAAACAAACACTTTAGGTAGAGCATAATTTCTAGAGAAAGAAAAAGAAAAAATGGTATCGGATCCCTGTTGGCAGGTTGGGAGATGATTCTGAGTATTGGAAGAAAAAATGTAAACGTTATCGACGCTACTCTTTGTGACTGGGCTGGAGAGGAGCAACATAGTCAGTTAAATATCAAGTCGCAATGCGACTGATGCAGTATTAAAACCAATCATAGTATTTCCGCCTTTGGATTTAACTGGCTCGAAAAAGTATTTTCGGATCTTAAAGCTAGAGAGATCCGGCAGAAATTAAGCTCTGACTCAGCTATTTTAAGGATAATTTACAACTATTTTAGTTTATTTTGTTGCGTTTACATTAATTACATTTGGTAAATAGTTCTTCAGTACTAGTATTGACTGAAAACTGACATAACCTTTTAAAGACTCGTTCAAAGCACATTAACTTTTCTTTAAGATTTCTACTTGTGAATGACTCATGAATGATAACTGCTCCAATTTACTAACAAGCTGATCCTACTTTCTAATAACTACATAGTTTCATTCAAGAGGCACACGTCGATATGGAAGAATTAACCTTATTGAGGTTTATCCGTTTGAATGGGTCTTTAAAATATATGAGAAATCCTGTGATAAGAACAGTTTATCACAAATAGAAATCCTTCTTCAACAACGTAATTCTGATGGAGAATTCCACCATAAGACAATGATTTGTCATTAATGCTAAGAACTTATGAATGAAAGTAAAGAAGTATATATTATAATATGTCAACCATACAACATCTGCTACATGTATATCCAGTGTCGACAAGGCCTTCCTTAACACCAGGGATATTAGGTCGGTTGGGATACGACAGAGAAAGTAATGGTTTAGATGTTCTTTATATCATCAGTTTTCATGAACAACGACTGTTATGGTGTGAGCCAGATTAAGTTAGTGAATTGAAATCATTATTAATCTTATCAAAGAAGTTTATAAATAAATTTTGTAGGGTAAGGATTAATCACACAATAATATTTGTTTTATTTTCTTCAACACCGGTTATGTAATTTTATTTGAGCTTGATTGTTATTCAGATGAGCTAACGAATCAACAGGTTAGTCTTCTCCTTCCCGGAGAGGGTCAAACAACCACAGTGGCAACGGGAGAAAACTACATTAGTAATTCTCAGACCTCATGAGTGAAAGTAAAGAAGAATATGTTGTAATACGTCAATAATACCACATTTACCATATCTAGTTCTGACGAGAAACAATGACAGATGAGCTAACGAATCAACAGGTTAGTCTTCTCCTTCCCGGAGAGGGTCAAACAACCACAGTGGCAACGGGAGAAAACTACATTAGTAATTCTCAGACCTCATGAGTGAAAGTAAAGAAGAATATGTTGTAATACGTCAA